GATATTCCCATTGTTGCTAGATTTAGGCATTTAGGGGATTTGTGACGTAAGTCGTTGACAGTGATCAACAACCTTATGGAGAGGATAAGTAGATCTTTATCAAATAGATATAAAGCAAATCATACTAATAGTAGTTCTAACAAAGAAATTATTATTTCTGAAAATATTGATAATACTCTACAAAACTGGAAATTACCCAGCTCATCATCTGTTTATAAGCAAAAAGGAACATTCGAATTTACTTCTGATTATATAATAAAAACTGTTGAAGAAGCTATGCCTTTAACTGAAGGATATAATGCATTTCAACTTTTATCAAGACAATTAATTGAACAACATAAACGAAAATATAAATTTCTTCATATTGGAATGATACAAGTAGGATTAAAACCTGCAACCAGACTACGACTAAACACGTCTGCAGTCATTTGTGTCAGAGATAAAAGACATAACAAATTTCATGATTCCTTATTAGGAATAGTTGAATCTAGTTTATGTGATGGACCAATTTATTTTTCATGTTTTCCAAACTTCACTTTATCCCTCACAGACCCAACTTTAATGCATGCCTTATGCTTAGATATTAAATCTGAAGGATTTAATATGATGCAAGGAGCAGAGAATATAATTCTTATTTATAGAATTCAATATAAAGTTATGAATACGGTAATTCCCCGTATTAAAGAAATTCCTACACAACATAGGGGTTATACAACTCTATTTATTACTAATTTAGCAAAATCCAATTTAAAAGTCCCAAAAACAATCACTTGGGACCAAGTCAATTTACCCGAAAATGGGTACTTGAAAAAGCCTCTGAACCTGTTAAACAGGAAAATAGAGAATTAGAAGAAATTATTGAATACCCAGATGGAGATGTTGAAATTAAATTCTCTAATCAGAGAATTGCTCACCTTAATCTAGGACGAAAATCTACCTCTTCAGTTCCTATTTCACAGTTTGAAAGAGATAACTTGTTAGGAACAAAATTCACTACAGACGGAGTAAATCAACCAGAATATAAGGTTGAGTTACCACCCTCAACATCTGGAACTTCCAGAAATATTCCTAAAAGGCAATCACCTACTCCATCAGACATGGGGTATGATGATAGAAGTGTTTATGGTATTAACACATTAACAGTTGAAGAAAAAATAGAATTAGAATTTCCGATTCAAGGACTTGCAAAAGAATTATTTTATTCTCCTGAAAATGAAATTAAAAGAAAATGGTTCTACTCCAAAAAGAATTTTGAAGGACAGAAAAAATGGTTTATGCTATATAAAACATTTATTAAAAAGACAGAAGAAATAATTGATTTCTTTGAGTTTTTAAAAATATTTTACCAAAGTGAAAAACGTCACTTTCCTCAATTTGATGATCCAAGATGTATTTCTACAATTGAATCTACTTTTCAAAATTACATTACAAAAAGAGGAACACTTGTTAAAAGTATTCATCCCCCTGCAGCAAATTTAACTGTTCAAATTGACAAAGACGAAGTTATTGCTACACCATATAGGAAAGGTAGTACTATCGAAGCTGTTGTTGAACAGAACAATTTTACAAATCTCTCTCTTCAATCAATTGGTAATCAATTAAACCGTATTGAGCAAAAAGTAGCTTATACTGAGTCAACATCCAAACCTTTACAAATAGAACGAAAGGTTTTGTTTAAACCAATGTCAACAGAAAAGACTGAGTTTAAATTACAAACTCAAGAATCATCTGAAATGGTGGATGAAATTGTCAAAAGATTAAAAAATCTTGGCATAAAAGAAAAAGAAATAGCTCATCTGGAAAAGGAATCACAAAAAGGAACTGACTCAGAAGATGAGCAAGGTACTGATGACCAAGTAAATCAATTACAACGTATGTTTGAAACAGAACAACAAACACCTTATCAGGTGAATAAGATATCTTCTTATAAAAAGAAGTTAGTTTATAATATTCCAGCAAAACCCTATTATCATAGACAAACTCCAGTTGACCTTCAACTGGAACAACATGATGATTATATGACTGTTCAATTCGACGGTCGATCTATTAATGAATGGAATATAGATGGTATGTCAGAATACCAAATCCAGACAGTCATACATTATATGACTATGTTTGCCACACCATGTAAATCAAATGGTAATTCAGACCAAAATATTGCAAAAATTATAATACAAGGTTTTACCGGCCAACTAAAAGGTTGGTGGGACTTTTACCTCCCTGAAGAAGCTAAAGCTCATATACTTCAGGCAGTGAAAACTGAAATGGTTAATAACCAACCAATTAATACTAATGATAGTGTTAACACATTGTTATATACAATAGCCAAACATTTCATAGGCACTACATCCTTATTATTGGATAAAACTCAAGAACAATTAATGAATCTAAGATGCCACAATTTATCCCAATTCAAGTGGTATAAAGATGTATTCTTTTCAAAAAAATTTACACGAGCAGACAGCCAACAAGATTTTTGGAAAGAAAAATTTCTTTCCGGATTACCACACTTCTTTGCTGAAAAAATCCGTAACAGAATTAAGCAAAAACATAATGGAGTTATTCCTTACTCCCTTTATACTTATGGTGATCTTGCTTCTGAAATCACATCAGAAGGAATAAATCTATGTAATGAAATAAAATTACATAGACAAATTCAAAAGGATAAAATCCTAGGGAAAAAGATTATAGGAGATTTCTGTGAACAAATGGGACTACCACCTATTCGTTCAGAGACATCTGAAAAGAAAAAGAAAACTAAAATTAATAAGTTTTCTAAAAATAAATATTTTCCCCTGAAAGATAAGAGAGAAAAGAAAAGGTCAAAAGACCACAAACATGGGACTAACAGTGCCCAACCATCAAAGCAGAAGACAACACCCGTCTGCTGGCGTTGTCATAAGGTTGGCCATTATGCTAATAAGTGTAAAATGAAAAAGAAAATTAATAGCCAATCTATTGATGAAGGGCTCAAAAAGACATTGGAAAAATTATTCCTTTCTGACTCTGAGGATGATAAAACTAATCTTCAAGTATCTCTAATAGAGAATGAAAATGAAGAATATGAATCTGATTCTAACCAATCAGAAATAGAATCAGAAAAATCTGATTGTGAAGGAAATTGCGACTATTATAAAACCTTATGTCAGGCTAACGGATTATTTGTTCTGACAAAAGAAGACAATTTTATTCTTGATATTATAGATAAAATTACCGATCCTACAGAGAAAAGAGAAATACTTCAGAAATATCTGGAGAATTATTCCAAAAAAGGAAATATTGATAAAGAATTTCGTTTTAAAGAACCCGAAGCTTATAACATAAAAGAAATTCTTAACAGAGTAAAAAACTCTGAAGAAAAACCCGAAGACACATGTATTAGTGAACTAATATATGAAGTCAAAGAACTAAAAACAGAATTACGCTCTCTTAAATCTAGAATAGCAGTATTAGAATTAAAAAGAATTCAGAATATTTCTGACCAATCAGAAGAAGAGGAAGACTTAGAACCTAGTCCAACTACTTCTCAAGAAAAAGATGGATTAAATTCATTAACCTATATTAATATGATTGACAGAGTAATCACTCACAAATGGCATATCAAAGTCACCATAATTGTCTGGAAAGAATATTTCTTCTCTGCAATTGCTATGGTTGACTCTGGTGCTGATCTAAATTGCATCAATGAAGGACTTATACCTTCTAGGTACTTCTCAAAAACCTCAGAAATTCTGAATGCTGCAGATGGTAGAAAACTTATAGTAAAATATAAGTTACAAAATACTGCAATTTGCAATTTACAAAATACTGCAATTTACAACAAATAAAAAGAAAAGAAAGCTTTTTAAATTCACTTACAAAAGAAATATCTTATAAAAAGATTGCTGAGAAAATTCAGCAACCAGATATACAAAAGAAAATACGAGAAATACAAGAACATATTGTTCAAATAATTTGTTCAGATATTCCCAATGCCTTTTGGGAAAGGAAAAAGCATATAGTTCATTTACCATATGAACCAGACTTTAAAGAAAGTCAAATCCCAACTAAAGCTAGGCCCATAGCAATGGGACCGGATATTTAGAAATGTGTAAAAAAGAAATTGAAGATTTATTAAAAAAAAGGACTAATTAGAAAATCTTATAGTCCATGGAGCTGTCCAGCATTTTATGTTAACAAAAATGCTGAACTTGAGAGAGGAGTTCCAAGGCTTGTTATAAATTATAAGCCATTGAACAAAGCTCTTCGATGGATAAGATATCCCATTCCTAACAAAAGAGATTTATTAAACAGACTTTATACAGCCAAAATAATGTCAAAATTTGACATGAAATCTGGCTTCTGGCAAATTCAAATTGCAGAAGAAGACAGATATAAAACTGCATTCACTGTTCCATTTGGACATTATGAATGGAATGTTATGCCTTTTGGGCTAAAAAATGCCCCATCTGAATTTCAAAATATAATGAATGATATTTTTAATCCATTTACACATTTTTGTATAGTATACATCGATGATGTATTAATCTTTTCAAAATCAATAGATCAACATATCAAACATCTCAAAGCATTTATTAATGCAACTACAAAAGCAGGACTTGTTGTATCTGCAAAAAAGATAAAATTATTTCAAACCGAAACTCGATTTTTAGGGCATAATATTAAAGAAGGGACTATTATCCCGATTGAAAGATCTATTACTTTTGCGGAAAAATTTCCGGATGAAATAAAAGACAAAAATCAATTACAAAGGTTTTTAGGCAGTTTAAATTATATTGCTGATTTTTATACTAATCTTGCATTTGATACCAAACCTTTATTTGAAAGGTTAAAAAAGAACCCTCCTGAATGGACACATGTTCACACTGAAGCAGTTCGTAAAATTAAAGCAAAAATTAAGGAAATCCCATGCTTGGCTTTACCTCATCCTAATGCATTTAAAATTGTCGAAACAGATGCCTCAGACTTGGGATATGGAGGAATCCTTAAACAGAGGATTAATAATAAAGAAATTCTTGTTAGATTTACATCAGGAGTTTGGAAAGGACCCCGAATAAATTATTCTACTGTTAAAAAAGAAATCCTTTCAATTGTTCTTTGCATACAAAAATTTGAAAGTGATTTGCTAAATCAAAAATTTCTATTACGAATTGATTGTAAATCTGCAAAAGATATACTTCAAAAAGACATAAAGAATGTTGCATCAAAACAAATTTTTGCAAGATGGCAAGGCATATTGTTTGTTTTTGATTTTGATATTGAGTTTATAAAAGGATCAGATAATTGCTTACCTGATTTCTTAACTCGTGAATTCTTGCAGGGACATAATGAATAAAGACAAAGGGAAGGCAAAAGCCACTGGTGAACCTTATAAGGTTCCTTCATACAAAAATGTTGTGGGAAAAACCCCAGAACAATTGAGAAAAGAAGCCTTAAAGGCCACGCCAAAAGAAAACAAACTTAGAGATGATGCATATGCTATTGCAGTATCGTCTAATATGACGAATGAATTCGTTTATCCATATCTTCCTATTTCTACAATATGGATCGCACCAATAGAGCTTAAATATGCTCATCTTGCTGCTAATGAAGCTGCTAAATTCTACCTTCAAGAATTTACAGACCCATTTCTTTATCCTAAGGATGCAATACTTGACTCTACTGGTTCTGTAGAATTTGATTCTGTTAATCGAACAGGTGGTGAATGGGCTTATTCCAAAGCCTTATTCCAAAGCTTTCTTCAAAAAGGTAATTACTCCTCAACAATGGAATGGAGACCTTTATAGATTCAGAGAACTTCCTAAATATAGAAAGGAACAAAATAAATTTTGGTTCAACTATTTTGATTATATCAAAGCTTGGGATGGTGCTTTCTGTTATGAGAACAGACAAAGAAAGCACAGTTGGTTTTTCCAATTTAGAGATTTTGATCAAAGTTCTCCTTTACCACAATGGTTTTTAATGTGGTTTAATAATTGGGGATTTCATCCTATTACTCTTCCTGATAAAATCAGAACAATTTATGATGATTTTATAAAAACAAATGCATCATTAAAAACTCCAGGATTAATGTTTGCAATCCTCTATCAAGTTCCTTGGATTATGAAGTGGGACGTTATTATTTCCAAAATGCCCCTTCGTAAATTTGGAGAAATTGTTCATAATATCCCTTATCTGGGAAGAAGGATTTTAATCAAATGGTGGGACAAGTTTGATTTCTTTGCAGAAAATTCAATCTTCTCCCAGAAGGGATTAATTAATCTAGAGCCTCTACCACCTCCTCCAAGTCCCAAGAAAGACATTACAGAAATTCTGAGGGAATTATTGGCATCGTCATCCAAATCGGATCTTAAGGCACAACTAAAAGAAATCCTACAAGAATCTGATTCGGATACAGAGGACACAGATATGGCCAGCCTTAAATCAGACTCAATGCAAGACTCCCAGGACCCATATGATGTTTAGAAAATTGCATATGTCATTTTCAGGAATCCATAATAATGGAGTTACTGTACTACCCACTACTGGCCACAATAATGGAGTTACTGTGCAAACCACTACTGACCACAATAATGGAGTCACTGTGCTACCCACTACAGAGTCCATGATGGAGGTCACAATCAGCTACTATTCATTTAAAGAAAATGAAGAAGAATTTGAAGTCCGGAAGAAGACCTATATAAAGGCATACATCCATCACAAGGAGGGCATCCGAAAATTTCCGAAGATCTTATTCCTTCCTTTGAAAAGATATTCTCCCCTATCTGTTTTATACCCGCTGCTTTCTCTAAAATAATATCTAGTATTTTATTATAAGTTGTATAATATTGGTGTGTTGAAGGGTATTATAAGTTGTATAATATTGGTGTACTGAGGGACCTTAGTGGTATCCGAGCCATTGAATTGGCAGGTATGTAGTACTTTTAATAACAGTTTGTATTTTTTAATAACAGTTTGTATTTTTTAATAACAGTTTGTATTTAATCTATTTGTGTTTATCTGCTTTCTTAATTTTAAATTATATCTACTTTGTAAAGTTTTATTTTCCTTTCTTTAAGAGGGTTGTGAAACCTTAAGTCGCGTTGTCCTTGATATTCCCATTGTTGCTAGATTTAGGCATTTAGGGGATTTGTGACGTAAGTCGTTGATTGTGATCAACAACCTTATGGAGAGGATAAGTAGATCTTTATCAAATAGATATAAAGCAAATCATACTAATAGTAGTTCTAACAAAGAAATTATTATTTCTGAAAACATTGATAATACTCTACAAAACTGGAAATTACCCAGCTCATCATCTGTTTATAAGCAAAAAGGAACATTCGAATTTACTTCTGATTATATAATAAAAACTGTTGAAGAAGCTATGCCTTTAACTGAAGGATATAATGCATTTCAACTTTTATCAAGACAATTAATTGAACAACATAAACGAAAATATAAATTTCTTCATATTGGAATGATACAAGTAGGATTAAAACCTGCAACCAGACTAGGACTAAACACGTCTGCAGTCATTTGTGTCAGAGATAAAAGACATAACAAATTTCATGATTCCTTATTAGGAATAGTTGAATCTAGTTTATGTGATGGACCAATTTATTTTTCATGTTTTCCAAACTTCACTTTATCCCTCACATACCCAACTTTAATGCATGCCTTATGCTTAGATATTAAATCTGAAGGATTTAATATGATGCAAGGAGCAGAGAATATAATTCTTCTTTATAGAATTCAATATAAAGTTATGAATACGGTAATTCCCCGTATTAAAGAAATTCCTACACAACATAGGGGTTATACAACTCTATTTATTACTAATTTAGCAAAATCCAATTTAAAAGTCCCAAAAACAATCACTTGGGACCAAGTCAATTTACCCGAAAAATGGGTACTTGAAAAAGCCTCTGAACCTGTTAAACAGGAAAATAGAGAATTAGAAGAAATTATTGAATACCCAGATGGAGATGTTGAAATTAAATTCTCTACTCAGAGAATTGCTCACCTTAATCTAGGACGAAAATCTACCTCTTCAGTTCCTATTTCACAGTTTGAAAGAGATAACTTGTTAGGAACAAAATTCACTACAGACGGAGTAAATCAACCAGAATATAAGGTTGAATTACCACCCTCAACATCTGGAACTTCCAGAAATATTCCTAAAAGGCAATCACCTACTCCATCAGACATGGGGTATGATGATAGAAGTCTTTATGGTATTAACACATTAACAGTTGAAGAAAAAATAGAATTAGAATTTCCGATTCAAGGACTTGCAAAAGAATTATTTTATTCTCCTGAAAATGAAATTAAATGAAAATGGTTCTACTCCAAAAAGAATTTTGAAGGACAGAAAAAATGGTTTATGCTATATAAAAAATTTATTAAAAAGACAGAAGAAATAATTGATTTCTTTGAGTTTTTAAAAATATTTTACCAAAGTGAAAAATGTCACTTTCCTCAATTTGATGATCCAAGATGTATTTCTACAATTGAATCTACTTTTCAAAATTACATTACAAAAAGAGGAACACTTGTTAAAAGTATTCATCCCCCTGCAGCAAATTTAACTGTTCAAATTGACAAAGACGAAGTTATTGCTACACCATATAGGAAAGGTAGTACTATCGAAGCTGTTGTTGAACAGAACAATTTTACAAATCTCTCTCTTCAATCAATTGGTAATCAATTAAACCGTATTGAGCAAAAAGTAGCTTATACTGAGTCAACATCCAAACCTTTACAAATAGAACAAAAGGTTTTGTTTAAACCAATGTCAACAGAAAAGACTGAGTTTAAATTACAAACTCAAGAATCATCTGAAATGGTGGATGAAATTGTCAAAAGATTAAAAAATCTTGGCATAAAGGAAAAAGAAATGGCTCATTTGGAAAAAGAATCACAAAAAGGTTCTGATTCAGAAGATGAGCAAGGTACTGATGATCAAGTAGATCAATTACAACGTATGTTTGAAACAGAACAACAAACACCTTATCAGGTGAATAAGATATCTTCTTATAAAAAGAAGTTAGTTTATAATATTCCAGCAAAACCCTATAATCATAGACAAACCCCAGTTGACCTTCAACTGGAACAACATGATGATTATATGACTGTTCAATTCGACGGTCGATCTATTAATGAATGGAATATAGATGGTATGTCAGAATACCAAATCCAGACAGTCATACATTATATGACTATGTTTGCCACAGCATGTAAATCAAATGGTAATTCAGACCAAAATATTGCAAAAATTATAATACAAGGTTTTACCGGCCAACTAAAAGGTTGGTGGGACTTTACCTCCCTGAAGAAGCTAAAGCTCATATACTTCAGGCAGTGAAAACTGAAATTGTTAATAACCAACCAATTAATACTAATGAGAGTGTTAACACATTGTTATATACAATAGCCAAACATTTCATAGGCACTACATCCTTATTATTGGATAAAACTCAAGAACAATTAATGAATCTAAGATGCCACAATTTATCCCAATTCAAGTGGTATAAAGATGTATTCTTTTCAAAAAATTTTACACGAGCAGACAGCCAACAAGATTTTTGGAAAGAAAAATTTCTTTCCGGATTACCACACTTCTTTGCTGAAAAAATCCGTAACAGAATTAAGCAAAAACATAATGGAGTTATTCCTTACTCCCTTTATACTTATGGTGATCTTGCTTCTGAAATCACATCAGAAGGAATAAATCTATGTAATGAAATAAAATTACATAGACAAATTCAAAAGGATAAAATCCTAGGGAAAAAGATTATAGGAGATTTCTGTGAACAAATGGGACTACCACCTATTCGTTCAGAGACATCTGAAAAGAAAAAGAAAACTAAAATTAATAAGTTTTCTAAAAATAAATATTTTCCCCTGAAAGATAAGAGAGAAAAGAAAAGGTCAAAAGACCACAAACATGGGACTAACAGTGCCCAACCATCAAAGCAGAAGACAACACCCGTCTGCTGGCGTTGTCATAAGGTTGGCCATTATGCTAATAAGTGTAAAATGAAAAAGAAAATTAATAGCCAATCTATTGATGAAGGGCTCAAAAAGACATTGGAAAAATTATTCCTTTCTGACTCTGAGGATGATAAAACTAATCTTCAAGTATCTCTAATAGAGAATGAAAATGAAGAATATGAATCTGATTCTAACCAATCAGAAATAGAATCAGAAAAATCTGATTGTGAAGGAAATTGCGACTATTATAAAACCTTATGTCAGGCTAACGGATTATTTGTTCTGACAAAAGAAGACAATTTTATTCTTGATATTATAGATAAAATTACCGATCCTACAGAGAAAAGAGAAATACTTCAGAAATATCTGGAGAATTATTCCAAAAAAGGAAATATTGATAAAGAATTTCGTTTTAAAGAACCCGAAGCTTATAACATAAAAGAAATTCTTAACAGAGTAAAAAACTCTGAAGAAAAACCCGAAGACACATGTATTAGTGAACTAATATATGAAGTCAAAGAACTAAAAACAGAATTACGCTCTCTTAAATCTAGAATAGCAGTATTAGAATTAAAAAGAATTCAGAATATTTCTGACCAATCAGAAGAAGAGGAAGACTTAGAACCTAGTCCAACTACTTCTCAAGAAAAAGATGGATTAAATTCATTAACCTATATTAATATGATTGACAGAGTAATCACTCACAAATGGCATATCAAAGTCACCATAATTGTCTGGAAAGAATATTTCTTCTCTGCAATTGCTATGGTTGACTCTGGTGCTGATCTAAATTGCATCAATGAAGGACTTATACCTTCTAGGTACTTCTCAAAAACCTCAGAAATTCTGAATGCTGCAGATGGTAGAAAACTTATAGTAAAATATAAGTTACAAAATACTGCAATTTGCAATAATGGAATTTGTATAGAAATGCCATTTATAATGGTAAAAAAATTATCCCATGATATTATATTGGGAAATCCTTTCTTACACATGCTCTACCCTATAAAAAATGTGGATGAGAAAGGTATTACTAGTATTGTAAAATCACAAGAAATAACATTTCAATGTACTACACAACCTCGTTATCACGAGATTGATGTTTTACAAAAACAAATAAAAAGAAAAGAAAGCTTTTTAAATTCACTTACAAAAGAAATATCTTATAAAAAGATTGCTGAGAAAATTCAGCAACCAGATATACAAAAGAAAATACAAGAAATACAAGAACATATTGTTCAAACAATTTGTTCAGATATTCCCAATGCCTTTTGGGAAAGGAAAAAGCATATAGTTCATTTACCATATGAACCAGACTTTAAAGAAAGTCAAATCCCAACTAAAGCTAGGCCCATAGCAATGGGACCGGAATATTTAGAAATGTGTAAAAAAGAAATTGAAGATTTATTAAAAAAAGGACTAATTAGAAAATCTTATAGTCCATGGAGCTGTCCAGCATTTTATGTTAACAAAAATGCTGAACTTGAGAGAGGAGTTCCAAGGCTTGTTATAAATTATAAGCCATTGAACAAAGCTCTTCGATGGATAAGATATCCCATTCCTAACAAAAGAGATTTATTAAACAGACTTTATACAGCCAAAATAATGTCAAAATTTGACATGAAATCTGGCTTCTGGCAAATTCAAATTGCAGAAGAAGACAGATATAAAACTGCATTCACTGTTCCATTTGGACATTATGAATGGAATGTTATGCCTTTTGGGCTAAAAAATGCCCCATCTGAATTTCAAAATATAATGAATGATATTTTTAATCCATTTACACATTTCTGTATAGTATACATCGATGATGTATTAATCTTTTCAGAATCTATAGATCAACATATCAAACATCTCAAAGCATTTATTAATGCAACTACAAAAGCAGGACTTGTTGTATCTGCAAAAAAGATAAAATTATTTCAAACCGAAACTCGATTTTTAGGCCATAATATTAAAGAAGGGACTATTATCCCGATTGAAAGATCTATTACTTTTGCGGAAAAATTTCCGGATGAAATAAAAGACAAAAATCAATTACAAAGGTTTTTAGGCAGTTTAAATTATATTGCTGATTTTTATACTAATCTTGCATTTGATACCAAACCTTTATTTGAAAGGTTAAAAAAGAACCCTCCTGAATGGACACATGTTCACACTGAAGCAGTTCGTAAAATTAAAGCAAAAATTAAGGAAATCCCATGCTTGGCTTTACCTCATCCTAATGCATTTAAAATTGTCGAAACAGATGCCTCAGACTTGGGATATGGAGGAATCCTTAAACAGAGGATTAATAATAAAGAAATTCTTGTTAGATTTACATCAGGAGTTTGGAAAGGACCCCGAATAAATTATTCTACTGTTAAAAAAGAAATCGTTTCAATTGTTCTTTGCATACAAAAATTTGAAAGTGATTTGCTAAATCAAAAATTTCTATTACGAATTGATTGTAAATCTGCAAAAGATATACTTCAAAAAGACATAAAGAATGTTGCATCAAAACAAATTTTTGCAAGATGGCAAGGCATATTGTTTGTTTTTGATTTTGATATTGAGTTTATAAAAGGATCAGATAATTGCTTACCTGATTTCTTAACTCGTGAATTCTTGCAGGGACAGAATGAATAAAGACAAAGGGAAGAAAAAAGCCACTAGTGAACCTTATAAGGTTCCTTCATACAAAAATGATGTGGGAAAAACCCCAGAACAATTAAGAAAAGAAGCCTTAAAGGCCACGCCAAAAGAAAACAAACTTAGAGATGATGCATATGCTATTGCAGTATCGTCTAATATGACGAATGAATTCGTTTATCCATATCTTCCTATTTATACAATATGGATCGCACCAATAGAGCTTAAATATTCTCATCTTGCTGCTAATGAAGCTGCTAAATTCTACCTTCAAGAATTTGCAGACCCATTTCTTTATCCTAAGGATTACAATTTTTATTATGCAATACTTGACTCTACTGGTTCTGTAGAATTTGATTCTGTTAATCGAACAGGTGGTGAATGGGCTTATTCCAAAGCTTTCTTCAAAAAGGTAATTACTCCTCAACAATGGAATGGAGACCTTTATAGATTCAGAGAACTTCCTAAATATAGAAAGGAACAAAATAAATTTTGGTTCAACTATTTTGATTATATCAAAGCTTGGGATGGTGCTTTCTGTTATGAGAACAGACAAAGAAAGCACAGTTGGTTTTTCCAATTTAGAGATTTTGATCAAAGTTCTCCTTTACCACAAAACCGACGACTCGATTAATTTATATTGCGGCAACTTTGTCGCGCTATGCGCCAACGCGCATTCACACCCCTCTTTTATAAAAACAAATGCATCATTAAAAACTCCAGGATTAATGTTTGCAATCCTCTATCAAGTTCCTTGGATTATGAAGTGGGACGTTACCCATCACAACATGGCCCCCACATCGACTCGAGAGTGGGGGGCTTAATGATATGCCTAATTGGGCCAACCCAATGGGCCTACAATTTCTTTACCTACTGGGCTACGAGTCCAATATCGAAGACTAATATCACCGAGGCCCAAACACCTTCAAGTAAGGCTTGGGCCCAACAAAGCAAACCCAACCCAATAAACGACATATAAATAGAGGTTTTCCTCATTTTATTAAGGTACGTCCTATTATCTGAGCAATACTACTAATTGTATTCTCTGGACTATTTCTATGATCAGCACGTCTGACTTGAGCGTCGGAGGGGTTTCCGCCGGATCAACCCCCGGCTTAGTTCATGTGTTCTATGATCGCAGGTACCTCAGGATCATCAAGTTGTCAAGCTACTGATCTGCTTTGCTCTCCCAGTTCATTTTCTACACCACCCCAGGTGATCTAAGTAATTAGCATCATCAATATCCCTTATCTGGGAAGAAGGATTTTAATCAAATGGTGGGACAAGTTTGATTTCTTTGCAGAAAATTCAGTCTTCTCCCAGAAGGGATTAATTAATCTAGAGCCTCTACCACCTCCTCCAAGTCCCAAGAAAGACATTACAGAAATTCTGAGGGAATTATTGGCATCGTCATCCAAATCGGATCTTAAGGCACAACTAAAAGAAATCCTACAAGAATCTGATTCGGATACAGAGGACACAGATATGGCCAGCCTTAAATCAGACTCAATGCAAGACTCCCAGGACCCATATGATGTTTAGAAAATTGCATATGTCATTTTCAGGAATCCATAATAATGGAGTTACTGTACTACCCACTACTGGCCACAATAATGGAGTTACTGTGCAAACCACTACTGACCACAATAATGGAGTCACTGTGCTACCCACTACAGAGTCCATGATGGAGGTCACAATCAGCTACTATTCATTTAAAGAAAATGAAGAAGAATTTGAAGTCCGGAAGAAGACCTATATAAAGGCATACATCCATCACAAGGAGGGGATCCGAAAATTTCCCAACATCTTATTCCTTCCTTTGAAGAGATATTCTCCCCCATCTGTTTGATACCCGTCGTGTCCTCGAACTGTAGCACGTATTTTAATGATCACTTTTTGCATCCAATTTTGACCAATTTTGACCATGTAGCCAGCTAAAATAGGTTTCTAATGCCGCCGGAACCAGTTGATTTGGAGTCCGGATGAGAAAGTTATGCTCGACTTCGTGGACACTACCGAAGATAGTGAGGGATCCTCTCTTCTAATTTGATTTTATTTTCCTAATTGCAACTCTATTCGTACTCTTTGATCATTTTTGCTTCATGGACACCTAATTATCATTTTGTACCTATAAGAAGATACTAAATCCACCAATTAAAACAAAAATATAAATTAATCCATAAAAAACTCCACGTAAACGTAAACGTTAAGTGTTATTTCTACACTCCACTGTATCTTTTGTATGCTATTGTTTGGTTATGCGTATTAAAGTCCTAGTGTTGTATTTCTTGTTTTTAAGAACGTTGTTGCGAATGCACTTTTGCTCATATTTTTTTACATGTACGTTTGTGCATGTCCATTTGAGCGAGTGTGTTTCTGCATGTTTGTTGATTTGTATTAATGTCCTAGGATTGTAGTTTGTGTTTTCGTGATCCTTTTTGCGAATGTACTTTTGCGTGAGTACTTTTGTGCATGCTTTTGTACTTTTACTTGTGTGCGTATATTTTGTAGCGTGTGTTTTTGTGCACGTTTCTTGATGCGCATTCGTGTTCTCGTACTGTAGCACGTATTTTCATGATCGCTTTTGGAATCTAATTTTGACCATGTTCGAGTCCGAATTTGGAAATTTGACATTAGACAGGAATTGTAGCCAGCTAAAATAGCTTTCTAATGCCGCCGGAACAAGTTGATTTGGAGTCCGGATGAGAAAGTTATGCTCGACTTCGTGGACACTACCGAAGATGTTGAGGGATCCTCTCTTCTAATTTGATTTTATTTTCCTAATTGTAACTCTCTTCGTACTCTTTGATCATTTTTGCTTCATGGACACCTAATTATCAATTTGTACATTAAGATACTAAATTCACCAATTAATACAAAAATATAAATTAATCAATAAAAAAATCCACATAAACGTAAACGTTGAGTGTTATTTCTACACCCCACTGTATCTTTTGTATTTAGTGTTTTTGCTATTGTTTGGTTATGCGTATTAAAGTCCTTGTGTTGTATTTCGTGTTTTTAAGAACGTTGTTGCAAATGTACTTTTGCGCATATTTTTTTACATGTACGTTTGTGCATGTCCATTTGAGCGAGTGTGTTCGTGCATGTTTGTTGATTTGCATTAATGTCATAGGATTGTAGTTTGTGTTTTCGTGATCCTTTTTGCGAATGCACTTTTGCGTGAGTACTTCTGTGCATGCTTTTGTACTTTTACTTACGTGCGTATCTTTTGTAGCGAGTGTTTTAGTGCGCGTTTTTTGATGCGCATTCGTGTCCTCGAACTGTAGCACGTATTTTCATGATCACTTTTTGCATCCAATTTTGACCATGTTCGAGTCCGAATTTGGAAATTTGATATTAGATAGGAATTGTAGCCAGCTAAAATAGGTTTCTAATGCCGCCGGAACCAGTTGATTTGGAGTTTGGATAAGAAAGTTATGCTCGACTTCGTGGACACTACCGAAGATGTTGAGGGATCCTCTCTTCTAATTTGATTTTACTTTCCTAATTGCAACTCTTTTCCTCAAAGCTTGGGATGGTGCTTTCTGTTATGAGAACAGACAATGGTTTTTAATGTGGTTTAATAATTGGGGATTTCATCCTATTACTCTTCCTGATAAAATCAGAACAATTTATGATGATTTTATAAAAACAAATGCATCATTAAAAACTCCAGGATTAATGTTTGCAATCCTCTATCAAGTTCCTTGGATTATGAAGTGGGACGTTATTATGTCGAAAATGCCCCTTCGTAAATTTGGAGAAATGGTTCATAATATCCCTTATCTGGGAAGAAGGATTTTAATCAAATGGTGGGACAAGTTTGATTTCTTTGCAGAAAATTCTGTCTTCTCCCAAAAGGGATTAATTAATCTAGAGCCTCTACCACCTCCTCCAAGTCCCAAGAAAGACATTACAGAAATTCTGAGGGAATTATTGGCATCGTCATCCAAATCGGATCTTAAGGCACAATTAAAAGAAATCCTACAAGAATCTGATTCGGATACAGAGGACACAGATATGGCCAGCCTTAAATCAGACTCAATGCAAGACTCCCAGGACCCATATGATGTTTAGAAAATTGCATATGTCATTTTCAGGAATCCATAATAATGGAGTTACTGTGCTACCCACTACTGGCCACAATAATGGAGTTACTATGCAAACCACTACTGACCACAATAATGGAGTCACTGTGCTACCCACTACAGAGTCCATGATGAAGGTCACAATCAGCTACTATTCATTTAAAGAAAATGAAGAAGAATTTGAAGTCCGGAAGAAGACCTATATAAAGGCATACATCCATCACAAGGAGGGCATCCGAAAATTTCCTAAGATCTTATTCCTTCCTTTGAAAAGATATTCTCCCCTATCTGTTTTATACCCGCTGCTTTCTCTAAAATAATATCTAGTATTTTATTATAAGTTGTATAATATTGGTGTACTGAGGGACCTTAGTGGTATCCGAGCCATTGAATTGGCAGGTATGTAGTACTTTTAATAACAGTTTGTATTTTTTAATAACAGTTTGTATTTTTTAATAACAGTTTGTATTTAATCTATTTGTGTTTATCTGCTTTCTTAATTTTAAATTATATCTACTTTTTAAAGTTTTATTTTCCTTTCTTTAAGAGGGTTGTGAAACCTTAAGTCGCGTTGTCCTTGATATTCCCATTGTTGCTAGATTTAGGCATTTAGGGGATTTGTGACGTAAGTCGTTGATTGTGATCAACAACCTTATGGAGAGGATAAGTAGATCTTTATCAAATAGATATAAAGCAAATCATACTAATAGTAGTTCTAACAAAGAAATTATTATTTCTGAAAACATTGATAATACTCTACAAAACTGGAAATTACCCAGCTCATCATCTGTTTATAAGCAAAAAGGAACATTCGAATTTACTTCTGATTATATAATAAAAACTGTTGAAGAAGCTATGCCTTTAACTGAAGGATATAATGCATTTCAACTTTTATCAAGACAATTAATTGAACAACATAAACGAAAATATAAATTTCTTCATATTGGAATGATACAAGTAGGATTAAAACCTGCAACCAGACTAGGACTAAACACGTCTGCAGTCATTTGTGTCAGAGATAAAAGACATAACAAATTTCATGATTCCTTATTAGGAATAGTTGAATCTAGTTTATGTGATGGACCAATTTATTTTTCATGTTTTCCAAACTTCACTTTATCCCTCACAGACCCAACTTTAATGCATGCCTTATGCTTAGATATTAAATCTGAAGGATTTAATATGATGCAAGGAGCAGAGAATATAATTCTTATTTATAGAATTCAATATAAAGTTATGAATACGGTAATTCCCCGTATTAAAGAAATTCCTACACAACATAGGGGTTATACAACTCTATTTATTACTAATTTAGCAAAATCCAATTTAAAAGTCCCAAAAACAATCACTTGGGACCAAGTCAATTTACCCGAAAATGGGTACTTGAAAAAGCCTCTGAACCTGTTAAACAGGAAAATAGAGAATTAGAAGAAATTATTGAATACCCAGATGGAGATGTTGAAATTAAATTCTCTAATCAGAGAATTGCTCACCTTAATCTAGGACGAAAATCTACCTCTTCAGTTCCTATTTCACAGTTTGA